GGGATTCATTTAAAATTTCCTTGAGGTTCCCGTGGTGTAATAATATAGTTCAAATTAAGTGCTATGTTAACTAGATCAAGTATGGTATCTGAATAAAAGGGAAAAAATTCATTTAAAATGACATCCAAAATTGATACTACTAGGTACAGGACAGTGTATATATTTTCATTTGTATGTGCAAAAAGAATATATTTATATACACATATGCTTGTATATTCAGAGTAACTCTAGAAGGATACACAAGAAATTGGTAACACTGGTTGTTACTTTTCACTAACTGTAGCATTTAAATTTTGTACCATATATATGTTTTCCCTATTCAAAAATATTGATTAAAAACCCACTACTAAAATAAATTTAATTTTAACAATCATGTCAAATTAAGAAAAAAAGACTATTTTTTTTACATTATACAAGAAAATATGCTAACGCATATATTGTTTTTCCAAGATCCACCTACATAAATTTTGTTATATTTACTTTCTGACAGTAACTGTGATCTAAAAATTCAAATTTCACATGACCTTAACTTGGGAAAAACACATTTTCCCTGTACCTCATTGCTACAGTACTGTGGAGTATGGGTTGTCTCACGAGCATGCTAACATCTTTACTCTCTTCCTCCGATGGGTTAGCCATTAGCCACCATTTCTCTGTGAAATTCAAGAAATCTTTAAGGAAACTTCAGAAGGACTTTAAGAATCTTACTTGGCAGTGATAAATATTATACCTGTATTATTCTGTTGGCATAGAATCAATTTTAACTTCTCTCTGTGGTTTACTTTAGATTTTATCCTGCCAAAGATGTTTGGTGTTTTGGTAAAGACAGACTTCTAACTATGTGGTGACTAAGCCAAGCCCTTACATAAAGCTTGGAATAGGATTTTATAAATAGTTCCAATGAAAGACATTTTGAAATAAGCAGGGGAAAAAAAATCTCACACTTATAAAAATTATTTTCAGAACACCACTTAAAAGTTCAAATTAAGTCCTAATCTCTTAAATATTAAAATAAACCATAAAACAAAATCTAAAGGAGTGATAGTACATACATCAACTTTCAATGGTAGCTGCTTATTAAAAATGAGTGTCTGAGGGTGTATTCCAATTTCATCCTCTCCAAATTGTGCAGCTCAGATAAATGTTTATTTTACTGAAAATATTTGCAAAATTACAATATAAATACATGAATATATTAAGATAGAATGACTATATATAATGTATTCTTATCCATATATATAAAATGAATGCAGTAAATATAGCATATTCTCAATGAATTATTAGTACACAGTGTTTCTTAGTAAAGTACATACAACCTATTATTAAGCAACAATTATCTAGTTTTCAAATGTACATCTCAGGAAGTTTTTAGGATGAAAGGATACACTAAATCTCCCAATACCCTTTTTGGTTGGTGAAAGTTAGTTCTGCAAATTTTGAAATAATACTATGTTTATTTTAGCAGTGGTTCTTAGGCTCTTTGCATTTTCCTAATTTGAAACTTTATTTCTTTAGTCTGGGTGTTTTCTTAATGAGGCCGTATCAGCCGACCATACTTTTAATTCTAATACAGTATCATGTACTGTCTTTTCATTAGTCATTTTAACACACATCAACAATGAAACAGAATTATTAAAATTTTTTTATCTGCACAAATTCCCAAAATTAACTTTCAGGGTATTATGGGTATTACGGGGAGTCTCAACTAGATAGAGTCTCAACTCTAATACTAATCTGGGCTAGAAACGGTTTTTTTTTTTTTATTGATTTTAGGTCTTAAGAATACAAATATGAACTCTACTTGAAAAGTGTTTGTTAAATGTATTGGGATTTGTTTCAAAAGCATCTTCTACCCTCCTCCATTACACCGATTTAATGGAAACTTGTTATTATAGCAGTTCCAACACAAACATCTGCATGCAAGAGATCACCCTACAGATTCTAACTACATAGTTATTGAAACACATCCCACCTGTCGAGCGGCATAAATGTACATCTTCTATATACAAAAGGTAAAGTGCATTATTAAATTAGTGAACTGACAGATTGTCTGCCTGGACCATATAGCTTTCTAATAGACAAATGTGAAATTCTCCCATTAGAACCAATTATTTCAAGAGGTTCCAACTAGCTTTTCCACCCTGTCATTTATTTTTTGGCCATGCTCTTTAGTGCAAATAAGCTTGTGTTTGACTCAAGTTTAAGGGACATGGCAGTTTGGGGCTTTAACAAGGAAAATTATAAAATGTGGCAGAACTTTTAATACTTTTATAATACATTGCATCTTTTGCATATAAGCAACAGATTAGTGCTGCTTTCAATTGCTAGGAGCACACTGCCAACTATTAGGAGGAACCCGTTTCCAAATTTCATACTATTAGCTTATATTATTACAGTTTTGAGTCTATACCACATTATACTTGGGTCATTATGTGCAAACATCATCAGTGTTTTAGAATTATACAGTGAACTAGTAATTTTGGTTACTAACTTGAATGCTCATTTTTTTACTTCTAACATCCAGTTGCCTTAAGAGTTTTAATGTCTTCAAGGCTGGGATCCTATTATTTTGAAGAATACCATGTACACTTGCAGCTTCATTTATGTTACAAATGACAATAAATAAAATGTATATTGCACAGATAAAAATAGTAGCTTATTTTATAAGATACATGGCAATACATGTCCTAATACCAGAGTTTTGAACTGGATCTTATTTGATTATGGCTAATGAATAATTGGGAATTTTAAGTATCAAAAAATCATGACATCATTTCATTTTTCAATGAACACATATAAAAAAGTGAAACAAAAGGACTGGTAGAAGGCTTAGTGATTCTAATGTATATTCAATTGCCAGTATATATGCATCTACCAATCTATAGCTTTGAGATGGTAATAACTTTGAAGTATACATACAATGTAGAAGATTTGGCTACTAACTAACTCTTGACTTAAATAATTAATGCAAAATTAATATTTATATACAATGAATTAAAGATATTTATCTTTAAGTCTGACATAGTATTGTGTATATGTATATATACACACATGTATGTATATATATAGACATAAACACTCAAATCTTATCAGACTAAAAACCAAAAAAGAAATCATTTAGATTTAATGGATATAAATATTTTAGGAGGGAAGGTTTTAAGAGAGAGTATATAGTCATAGCAACAGTGATAGGAACACTCGAATACTGGAACATTCATCGCTCCAGTTTGCCAAAATCTGACAGGTTGATAATTATTAATAGGCACTATGATGGGCAGCAATAACAATCAGTAGTACAGTAATTCAAGTGCACATCACTCCTTCATATACCAAAAACTACTTTTTATCAAGTCTACAATAGTTATTTTACAGTTAGGACTGTTTAAAGATCCTTGCTACTTTTAGAGTCTCAACACCCACCATGTGCTATTAACTCTAGTACTAACATTATCTTCTAACCTTCAGTTGTTCCATAGTAATCCAGATGGTCTACAATTATAACGAACTAATGAGATTCCTTCATACTACTTGAGGAAACATGAAATACAATCTGAAAACCAATACCAGCATATATGTCTGGGTTACTGATTGCTTGTTTTTAAATAAGATAAGCCGGTAATACTCTTTTCTTGACTCACAAAGTTCTCTTAGTGACCTTACTTAAATGGATTTGGGGACAAACTGCTGAAGGAAAAAATTATTAAAATAATTTTGAACTACTTATAACATATAAAAGGAGAGCTACATTCTGATCTCAATCCATGCAGCCAGCTCTCATCAATGAGAGCTATATTTGGGGGTTGAAATCAGTGTCTGGCTCTTAAACATGATTATATGGACTTATTGTGTGGGAGGTGAATAAAGCCAAGATAAAAGACAATAATTTCAATCAGAATAAAATGCAGCTCAACAGATAAAATTCCAGTCAGTTAATACAGGGTGGGTTGGTACACATATACACTATATCCACTTGTTTAAAAATTGCTTAGGTGTTGAAAAATTGCTGTGGCACTTCCTGGAAAGTAATTTTTAATACAGGTAAATGGGTGAGTCTTGTGTAAAGTAAACCTTTTTAAGTATCATAAAGAGCACCTTGGAAAATGCCTGAATTTTCCTTTCAAATATGTTTATAACCAATCCTTAAATAATTTTCCCAGGCTGAAAATTTATATTCTAAGTGCTTTTTAGAAAAAGAGTTGTTTTTTTTTTTCCTGGAATTAAAATACCTGTAAAAGCCAGGTTTATATTGGAAGTGTTGACACTGTTTTAAGGGTAGCAAAAGTGCTACTAAAATGTATTATTACAGATGTATTTTTGTATCAGTTAACTGGTGCACCAACCCCTCTGAAATAGTGCTAAAGAAGAAGCATAAAATATAACACCTTGAGTCCATGATATATTTTGGGAAAAAAAACTCTCACAACCTTCAAATTAGCATGAAAGGCTAAACCACCAAGATTTCCATAGCAAAGCCATAGGATGAAGCCTCCCACTCAACAGCGACATAAAAGTAATTCCTGAAACTTTGGAACGTCAATAAAAATATAGGGTATAGTGAAGAGAGGTAAAGATGGGATTAGAATAACCAATTAAAACTCCCCCACGGCTTTGATATGGCAACTATAAACTGCAGGGTTACCACAAAATTTGAAATTATAGAATACTATCGTTAACTGTAAGATTTGATTCTTTCATGGTACTTTTTGATATTCAGTTATCCAATGAACTAATATATTTCTACATGTTCTTGTATAAAGAAATATATTAATACTATACTTGAGGTCAATTTCTGTTTCTGTGGTAACTGCCCTACAGGTAAGCTTAGCAGCTTTTAATGAAGTAGGGATGGAATACTTTCTCTGGGAACTGGTTAAATAGAAATTGACACTCCATATTAAGTATACGTATATGTTCTCAGGATCATGTCATAGTGCAATGTAAATCTTAGTTATGGTATTTAGAAGGTCAGAATGTCATATTTTGTGCTGATTTGCATACTTCAATAGTCTGGAGCAGTTGAAGCAACTACACTATTTAGCTCTGGGAAGGCTGGAATTCCCATAAGAATTATAATGTTCTATGTATAACATGAGAATCAGACTCCTTGAAGTATAAACTATCGGAGGTATTACTAATAACAAAGGGCCAAAAAAAGAGGAAAAACTTCTTCAAATGATTATGGATCAGTACTTTTAGCCAATTTATGATTTTAAATTTTGCCTGATGGAGTTCAATTTCACTCTAGTCGAGGCATTCTTGTTCTTCACCACTGGCCCTTCTGCCATCCATTCTCTTTTCTTTATGGCTGTTGCAAATTTTCCTCATCTCTTCTTCATACTTGATAAAATTCTCCCCAAACCTTGTCCAAGCTTTGAATGGAACAGTAATAGTATTACGGTAAGGTGGCCTCACCTCACTTACCTTCAGGAAAATTCCATATTTATTAGAGCCCACATCAAAGTAGAACCTTTTATTGTCCACTCTGAAAGAAGTCCCCTCTGGGAGTTCAAGTGGGTCATCATCTTCACCTCTTCGTTCTTCTATGTCCCCTTCGCCATAGTCTTCAATGAGCTGAACCAAGGCATCACGAAACTCAATCATTCCTTGTGCGGGGAGCACAATAGTCTGTTCTTGGCCCAAACTGTGACCAAAATAACCTATCATGCCCGTCCCTCGCATCATGGTTTGTCTAATTCTTAGGAAGCGACCCCGTTGATTTTCCTTTAGGTCTAGATAATATTTCCTATTGTCCCTCTCTATGTAGTCTGTTTTGAGGACACTATGAGGGTGCTCTTCGGACCCTACAGAGACAGGTGGGGAGGGCGCCGAGTGCTTCTGTCTCCTCCTGGAGGCTTGATCTTTGCCGTGGCCATGCTCTTGCCGGTGGCCTTTCAGGCCCAGGTGGGCGTAATGCTCGATGAAGTCCCCTAGACAGTCCTTCAGCTCCGCTGCCACAGACAGGGACAGAGTCAGTTTACTCTTTCTGATATTGTCCTGCCGGCCTCTCCCTATCCAGACTTCGGCTATCTTTAGGAACCGGCCCCGGGAGCTTTGCTTTACGTCTAGGTAAAACCTCTTTTTCTGGATGTCCACTCGTTTGGAGGCCAGCTCCTGGATTTCGGTTGCGCCCCCAGCCTGATTAGGGGTGGCTGAAGCCGCGTAGTGGGGGTAGTGGGAGTGCTGGGCCTGGGGATAGAGTCTACTCTTGCTTAGGCCAGAGCCCCCTACATTCTTGCCTCCGCGGCCGCGGCCGCCGCCGCCTCCCCTTCGCCTGGCTCTTTCCATCTTCAGCTGCAAGTGACAAACAGACACACGGGGTGGGGGAGGGGTGTTGAGAACAATCGCAGACGCCCCTTGGCCTGCGCTGCCCCCGCCTCCGCCCGGGACCCCCACTCCGGGCCGTGGTGCACGGAGCCCGCCGCCGCAGAGCCAGGCTCCCGCCTCTGCCCGACCGTCGGCGGCGACAGGCGGCGTCTCCCGGCTCTGCACCGCGCACATAGCATCCCTCCGCCGCCCGGGCCTCCCGCTCGCCGCCGGGCCGCCAGCCTCGGGCTCCGCAGCCCCGGGGTCCCCAGCCAGCAAACACTCACATCGACACTGCCATCACCGCCGCTACCGATGCCCTTCACGACCGCCGCCACCGCCAGCTCTCGGCCCCTCTGCTGCAGCCGCCGCAGCTGCTGCCCCCCGCCAGCTCCCCCGCCGCCGCTCGCACCGTCCCCCGCCGGAGCAGCCGGGCAGGGGCATCGCCTGCGGCGCCCGCCGCCGCCGCCCCTCCTGCGGCCGCTGCGGGGGCCGCCGCCTCTCTTCGGGCACCGGCCCGATACCCGCCGGGAGGGGAGAGGGGGGTGGCGGCAGGGGGCGGGCCGTGGACCCCGCCTCCTCCAGCACAGCCCGCTGAAGGGAAGAGAAGGTCTCGCGCTCTTCCTGGGGGCGCGCCGAGACCGAAGCCCAGAGCGCGGGGACGGAGCGTGAGTGCGAGATGACTGGACAGGTGTGAAGACGGGAATGAGGACGGGGGTGGCGAGAGTGTTCAGACTTCTCCAGGTTCCGCCGGGATGCAGGACTCTGGCGGCCCACCGGCGCCGGCATAGAGACTACACCTCCCGGAGTACTCAGCGGCAGCGAGAGTCCTTGCGCATGCGCGCCGCGTAGCCAGCTGGGCTTGGTGGCAGGGCTGCAGCGCCACTCAAGCGGAGGACGGGGACAGGGGCGGGGCATCCGCCTTCCAGAGCCCATGTGTGCTGGGGGCGCCGTGACGCTGCGGCGTGCGCTCCGCAGCGCGGGAATAAAGTCTGTCGAATTGCTTTTCAGCCTGGATACCTGGGTTCCAGGCCCTGCTGTGGCGCTTCACAAGTCATCCAGCTGAAGGAGGAGGCCGGTTGAACTGACTCTTCTCAGGGTAACGTGTCCACTCCACCCCTGTTTCAGCTAGCTCCAGACCCTGAGGAATCATTCGAGACTTCTCCGACATTGGAGGTGCTCAGTCCGGCAAAACAGGCCTCTGGGCAGTGTGTGGGAGGTGCGTTAGAAACGGGTGTCCTCTGCCCCTTTCCACCTCCGGAGCATACAGGAAAGGGACCTGCCGCTGGCCTGCCCTCCCTCAGCTTGTGCCACCGGTTGCCTGTCGTGGGTCCTTAGGACTGGGCCCTTCGGGTCCAGCCTTTACTGCTGCAGAAAGGGAGCCACTCCATATTTCCACAACAAAGTCCGGGGAAATAACCTGTTATGTGTAATTTAGCAGATTAAGTTGGATTTCTTGAGTTTATTTATTTATTTTTATTTTTATTTCTTGAGTTTACATCCTTTAAATCCATAATTTTCTTTTTTTCATGGCTGAATCTGAGTTGTTTTCTGGATAGATTTGAGTATGTGAAAATACCAGTCCCTATGGTATGAAATCCTTAGGATGCTTATTTAGCAGTCTATAAGTCATGGTACTTAAGGTTTTGTATAATTTGGTATGTTAATTTTAGGGATATTGGGATGGATAGGGCAGTTTAGATTTTGATGTCATTGAATAGTGGTCTCCTTTTATTAATTCAACAAATATTTATTGAGCACTCCCCTAGGCTCTGGGGATACCAACAATGAACAAAAGGGGCACAAGTCTTTCTGCTTTTGGACCTTTCATTTTGGAGAGAGATAGACAGCAAGTCAAATGCCCAGTATGTCAGAAGGTGAAAATCCTTTGGAGAATAATAAAGAAAGAGGGATGATGACTGTGGGTGGGAGTAGGGAGCTGCAATCTTACAATAGCTTGTCAGGGAAGGCCTCACTGAAAAGGTAATTTTTGAGTAAAGAGTTGAAGGAAATGGGCGAGCTAGTTCTCTGGCCATCTGGGAGAAAGAAAGTGCAAAGGCCCTGCGGAAGCCTGTTGGTGTGTTCAAAGAGCCGCTGAGGAGGCCAGTAAGTTAGAGCAGAATGAAATAGTGACAGAAGAATTGTAGGAGATAAAATCGGACATGAAAGAGCAGGGGGCAGATGGTGTAGAACCTGGTAGGTTATTTTGAAAATTTGGGTTTTCATTCTGAGGGAGATGGGAAGCTCTTGGAGAGTTTTGTCAGGGAAACACCATCATCTGAATGATCTTTTTAAACAAAATAGTGGTAATATATATATAACAAAATGTGCCAATGTAACAATTTTTAAGTGTACAGTTCAGTAACATTAATTACACTCCCTATGTTGCACAGCCATCACCACTATTTTTTTTTTTTTTTTAAGATTTTATTTATTTATTTGACAGAGCAAGAGAGCACAGGCAGGGGTAGGGGCAGAGGGAGAGGGAGAAGCAGGCTCCCCGCTGAGCAGGGAGCCCAATTTGGGTTGATCGCAGCTGGGATCATGACCTGAGCCAAAGGCAGATGCTTAACCCACTGAGCCACCCAGGTAGGTGCCCCCATCACCACTATTTTAAAAAGTTTTTCACCCCAAACAAATTCTAACTAACTGGTTAATTAAGCAGTAATTCCCTATTGCCTCCTCTGCCTAGCTCCTGGTAATCTCTAATATAATCTCTCTTTATGAATTTGCTCGTTCTGGAATCACAATATTTGGGCTCTTAAAATTTTTTTATTTTTATCTTTAATTTATTTTTTTAATATTTGTGCTTTTTTTTTTTTAAAAGATTTTATTTATTTATTTGAGAGAGAGAGCATGAGGAGGGGGAGGGTCAGAGGGAGAAGCAGACTCCCTGCTGAGCACCAAGCTCCGATGCAGGACTTGATCCCCCGACTCCGGGATCATGACCTGAGCTGAAGGCAGTCGCTTAACCAACTGAGCCAACCAGGTACCCTAATGTTTGTGCTTTTGCATCTGGCTTATTTCACTCAGCATAATGCTTTCAGGGTTCATCCATGTTGTACCATGTATCAACTTAATTCCTTTTTATGGCTGAATAATATCCCATTGTGTGATTATACTATGTTTTATCTAATCATTTGTTGATGGGCATGGGTTTTTTTCTACTTTTGGCTATTGTGAATTTTGCTGCTTTGGACATTACAAATATCTGCTTGAGTTCCTGTTTCCAATTCTTTTTGGTATATACCTAGGAGTGGACTTGCTGAATCATATGATAATTCTGTTTAGTTTGTTGAGGAACTGCCAAACCACATTGGTGGCCCTGGTTTACATTCAGCCAGTGATGTTCCAAGGATTCCAATTTCTCCATATCTTCTCCAAATAATTTTCTTTTTTCTTTCTTTCTTTCTTTCTTTCTTTCTTTCTTTCTTTCTTTCTTTCTTTCTTTCTTTCTTTCTTTCTTTCT